AATGGCCGATTCCGTTCGACACGCCGTCACCGATAAATGCTGCAATCGGACCACCAGCCCACCATAAACACGCCCTTAATGCATGTTCTTGTGTGGTGTAGTACTGGCTGACTAGGAGGGTAAACACGGGGTTATTGGATGCTTCAAAGACGCCCAGGAAGAACCGGGCGACGGCCAGCGTTGCAAAATTGGTGACTCCCGCTGTGGCTGCGACACACACTCCCCAGAGGAATACCATACTTCCTATCCAGCGGCCGATGGGTAGTCGCTGCATAAAGATAGAGTTGGGGTACTGCCAGATCAAAAACCTGTGTTACATTAGTACATTAGACCAGAGAGTAGATGGGGATGGGATCGAGCAACATACCCGAAGTAGAATATTGAGTTAGACCAGCTGTACTGTTGACCTACAAGGCGCTGGAACAGTTAGTTTGAGGACAACCATAAGCCTTTGGATGGATATGCCCTTACCAGGTCAGTTCGAAGCCCATAAACTGCCGCTGTCGACAAGATCCCTTTGTCGACAAAAGAGAGTAGATAACTGATGAGCATCTGCACACTTAGTATTCAACATGTGTATTGACAGAAGGCGGTAAGAGATTGATTCTTACCATAGGGACAAGCGATAGATCTAGCTTCCAGCGGACAATACTCTCTTCTCTTTCGCTGTACTCCAGCACCAGGTCGCCGTTAAACATCTCTGCGGCATCGTCGCATCCCTTGTCACGCATAGTCTTCTCCGCTTGGGGGATGGCAGCCTCCTGTATCTCGTGTTCTCCCATTTTTGCAATCAGCTTAGATTTTGGGGAACACTCTAAAGAGTATTTCTGTTTGTAGGCAAAGGGGCATATGGTTCTGGCGGCCGAAGGAGAATAAGTACTCCACGGTTCCCATTGCAGCCACTTGGACCTAGCGATATTCCCCGCAGTATTTTTTTTAATTCCCTTATCAATGCCGCTCCTTCACCTGACCTGGGGTAATGATAGTCATGATACTAGAGATATAACAGGGGTTCATAGCCGGGAGCTAAGCATCGGCTACGCCGAAATATCGGCTACTACCGATGTCTCGGTAGCAACCGATATCCCCGAGATAGCCTTACCCTAACCATTTGCGACGTCGGGAGACTGCCGAAGTAAATCGTTCATAAAGAACGCCAATCTTCTGGATAAGCTTCTTCGATAGCCAATTGACTCTCTGGTAGACCTGCACGAAGGATACTCCAATTCCAGGGAAAATATGTCCGTGCATCCGTTTTATCAGCATGTGGTAGTCAACGGGTTGCCCTATGACCGTGGATTCTCCTATGGCGAGCAAACAAAGGAGAAGATCCAGCTCAATGTCACGCACTATAAGCAGCCCGGCAAACTAGGACCATGGTATGTCACTCTGATTCCAAAAATATGCTGAAGGATGCTGATTTCTAGGTCTTCGGTTTCGAGAGTCATCCAAAACTGCTATATTCCTGGGCTGCAACGTTACTGGCCATCAGGATGGGAAGAGATGCGCGGTGTTGCCGCTGGCGCTGGTGTTACAGTCGAAGACATCGTCATGTTGAATGCGCGATATGACCTCTCGCATGTAAAGTTCGAGGCTGTTCCCGAAACTCCCGCCGCAGAAGAGCCCAAGACGGTGGAAGTCGTTCCTGAAATTTCTCAGGAGACGTCTGCCGTCGAAGTCACTGTCGAAGAGCCCAAGGTATCCGAAGTTGCTGAACCTACCGAGAAGAATCCTACTACCGAGGAAAAGGCTGTCGGTGAAGAACAGCAGGTCGAAGTTGCAGAAGAATGCACCTCCGCAATCATTCTCGCCCCTGCGACAAGGAACCGGGAAGTCTTCACTGCGCAGAACTGGGATATGTCTCACCGACTTGTCACTGAAGACGCCATTATCTATCTTGAGATTCATCCTGATCCCTCCGAAAATATCCCGTCAATGTTCCTTGTCACCGAGGCGGGTCAGCTGGGCCGCTCAGGGTGCAACAGCGCCGGGCTAGGCCTCACAGCAAATTCCCTGCAGAGCAACATGGATCTAGCTCCCGATTTGTCAACCCCTATCCCTCCCTCTGGGGCATTGCGACGGCTTTTCCTTGAGCAGTCTAAATACTCAGTCGGACTGAAGTGCATCGCCCGAACCCCACGCCACGTCGCATTTAATATGATGGTCTCATCTGCCGACGATATTGGCATGTGCCTGGAAGTGACACCGCAGACGATCTTCAGGTCCGTCATTTCATCGGGTTCGGAAAAGCCGTACCTTGTTCACAGTAACCACTTCCAGACTGGCCCCTTCCTGTCACAGACCCAAATCGCGGATACATACCTCGGTGGGAGCTCATGGTATCGGGGTGATCGACTTGAAGCAGGTCTGTGCAAGCAGGCACAAAAGGAAAATTTGATCGAACAGGATATTGTGGCAGCATTCCGGGACCATGCAGGCTATCCGCATAGTCTATGTGAGCATGTCGTTGAAGCAAAAAGTTCCAAAGAGGAGAACTCCGGGCCATATTCTGGACCCACGTCGACTGTCTGTTGTGTCGTTTATAATCTGTCTAAACGCACGGTGCGAGTGTGTAAAGGTTGCCCGTGCGAGGGAACATTTCAAGATTTTGAGTTGCGATGAAAGAATATAATTTAGCCCATCATTTCCTCAAGCCTAAACTGATCGCGAATGTAATCATCTTCCACTAAATCATCAAAAATCGACCAGAAGCCCTCGCCCCCGAACGCGTTTGTATCGACTGGAAACAATCCGTTCCAATCCGGGGGTTGGCTCCGTTTCAAAATATCCATCATCTCCCGCGCGAGGGTTTCAAAAATATCTCTAAACCGTTTTGTCGACGGCCATTGCTCTGAAATGGCAAACAGAACACTCGAACAGGCTCGGATGTCTTCCAACGCGACGAGGTCAGGTCTGTCCTTCCTAGTCCAGCTGGCGTATAGGAGGGTTAGACCAGCCGTGAAGATGGAATGTAGCGCCAGGAGATTCCAACCCAACGGGCTTCGCTGATGGAGCACTTTGTAATGTTGGCAGATGTCCCCAGATGCCCGAGCACTCAGTGCGATATACTCTGCTGTCTTCGAAATCTCTCCTTCCGCTTCTTTCTTTGGTGTAGTGATACGTCGCTGGAGGAGCATACGCAGTGCCTTGCTGTATTGAATATCAAAGAATTCCCTTGTATCGTATAGCGAGTAACCTGGGAGAACGAAGGAGGCATCTATCGGAACTGGGACAGCGAGTTGCCAAGCATCGAGCTCATACCGGAAACAGTCGATCTTTTCGTCAGAAGTTTCATGTACATCGGCTCCAAATATTTCACGGTGTATGCGGCTTTCCAGCCGTCGTAAATGACACATGTGGGTGAATGATTGGTATTTTGGCGAGTCATGTACCTGTTTGTTGATAAGTATTCAGCGTCATCATACTCGTTCGAAATAAAATGGAAATTACCGGAACGTCAATCTCATGTTCTGCTAGGGCGAATGGTCTGCCAAGGGTCAATGAGACCGCTCGATCCAAAATGTACGCACTCCAAAAGACACGATTACGCAGGTTCAGGTCCTCTTTATTCATTTGTCGCGCCCGAGAATCACGAAGATTGCGGTGAAGACCCATCTCGACCGCATGTCTGATGGCAAGCCCAATAATGTGCCAACTTCCAAGATTTGACACATTACTAGGAGTTCGGAGAAGATAGAGGGCAATTAACAGGAGGGCTTGGACCCGTTGCAAGCTCTGGCTCGCTAGAGCAGAGTCGATATGGTGAAGGGCGCGTGTAAAGTATGTCTAGATAGGATTCAGAATTGAATATCTTTTCTTGAGATCCTGTGATGTGACATACCTCTGGTCTTGTACATGGACGCATCTCAGGGTGTAGCTGAATGGTCCTCGCAGCAATAGCGTAAACCATATACAGTAAGAAGAGATTAGGGGAACTATGATCTTCGTCTCGGTTTGTCTGACGGAATACATTCCGAAGAGAAACCTCGTCAAGAAATGGATATCGAGGATGCACTCGTTTAAAAAATGTATCCACCAACACATCCTCTTGGTCCGTGGCTACAGACTGCTCTCGCATTGGTGTCTGATCAGAAACAGTAGTGTCATCACCTCTGACTCTTTCGGTTAACATAGACTCAGACAAGATTCCCTCCACGAGCCTTGAAAGCGAGAAGCCCGACGTTGCACCGATAAATGATGGCTCGGCAGCGGCATTCATACTCAAAAGCACAACATCTGTCGATAGCTCGCCATGGTAGTCGACCGGCGAGATGGAATGTGCGGCAACTTCATGAGTGCAGCTTTCATTCCTCTGGGACCGGAGACGGTTCTGTAGCTCAGCGACTTGTCTTTCTAGTCTGCTAGCATGTTGTAACAGTTGCGTGTGCTCTGTGGTTTGGAGGGCTTCAAGTCCAGGCAATGTTGGCCATGTACAATCTGCGTTTCTTAGAATCTCCACACTGATTTTCATTTCATAGATTTTCAAAGCATACTGGATCCTGACCGCTCACAGGCCGAACATACGGGGAGCTCGCCATTACACTATTTGTTGTCAGTAATTGTCGCTTGCTTAAAAGCAGCGTCATATAATTGCCTTTGTCTTACGGCGCTTGCAGCGCTCGCAGGCAATAGATGCCCGAGTTCTCCGATGTGGTGGCATCAACAAGATGAGAGGTGATCTAGCGGGGAGGTTGAAGGGGAGAATGCACCTATATCTACCCCGAGTGGGTAGACTAACCTATATAGGCAGCTAGATATAGAGTGATAATAACCTTCCAAGGTTGAGCGGGTAACCGAGGATAAAAGATAGCGACGCAACTAGAAACTCAATTTCTCTATTTTCAAAGAGCCTGAAGAAAAATATCATACTGTCACCGATTATTTTGGAGAAATATGGAAAGACATGCTAAAACAAAAAAAAATACAGCACTCCGAGAACGATTATCTACTGCATTAAGAGCTACAATTTTTTCATGAACCATGTATTCATGTAGATAAATATGGACAATTTGAGTAACAACCACCTTGGAAGTGATGCGCAAGTGATTCTATTCCTGAGAGGTAAGGCAGCAAACTTATTCTGCCTGGGAGATCGGGAGACACGGCACCAAGGCCACTCAGCCAATCACTATCGAGCTGTCATCCCCATTGAAGACCCTCCCATTTCCACCCCGAATCAGCCGAGAGCTGCTCAGGGTTTGTTTTCCACAGAAAGTTGCCTGTTGAACACTGCAATGGCCCCAGATAACTCTTCTACACCAGGGGCATCCTCCTTGACCCCCCCAGGCCTCCGACGAGAAACCATCCGCCCCTCCCGTCAACATCCTCCCCTCGCTGATAGCCCGGATCTACTCAATTGCGCACCCAGCACTCCTTTTGGCATTGGGCGCTACTCGTTTTCAAGCAGTGGTTGCTGATCCCACTAGGGAGCTTCTTTCCACCTTACCATGGCTCACCCTTGTACAAATTTTCTACGTGATTGTTTGTCTTCCGCCCGCCGGGTCGACACCGTCAACAGAGACGAGCGCGTCCGCCCCGGCTGATGGCAAGTCAAGTCCTCGGTCATCTGGGCCTGGTGGTGCTGTACGTCATGGAAAACATGGAAAGCGGAAGCAGCACGCCAACAGCTGGGCGTGCATTTGGTCCCGGTTACTGGTACGCGATCTTTCTCTAAATTGGGTGCAAACTGCGAGTCAATCGATACTGACATGATTTTCTAGCCGGCTCTGCTTTCGCTCTCTCTGACCTTCGCCCTGGCAACCCCGGTTCTGACAGTTCTTCTCGTTCTATTCGGCGCCCCGCTCACAACGCACAATTCCGAGACCGTCTTATGTGCGGCCCACATGGCCGTTCTATCTGCAACGGCTCTGATCTACGCCCATGGGCTGGATCGCGCCGTTTGGAACGAGGTTTGGGGCATTGCCCGTCCTGCTGATGCGGTCTGGGGCAGTGCGCTCGGCACAGGCTTGGGGGCGTGGTTCGGCGCTATTCCTATTCCTCTTGACTGGTGAGTTATATGTTCATACTGTACTTCAAATGCCAAATAGTTGACTAACTCAATATATGAAGGGACCGACCTTGGCAAGCATTCCCAATCACGATTCTCGTTGGAGCCTACATCGGATATGCGGTTGGCTCTTTGCTTGCTCGCACTCCATTGGTTTACGGCAAGCGTGTCAAATTCACTTCGGAGGTGAGCGAGACCGAAAAGAAGACTAATTAGGGACTTTTCTTTTTCGTTGAGTCCTTTTATATTTGCACAATACGGCATATCTCTGAAGATACATGCCTGGCTTGTATTGCTTGTATTAGCACAAAAAGCTCTTACAAGTCTGCCGCCACCAGTTATAATTGGTTTTAGATATCCAAAGAATTAATTTGATAATGTAAATTTCTTTAATGAGAGCGTCTTTTTATTCACAGCTTGCTATGATCCTTGAAGCTACCATGCCGCCCTGAGCCTTTGCTAAACTTCGCTGCACCTGCGATGGCTTCCTGCGAAATCACCTTGCTCCCAGCATTGAACTCCTGGGACATCGCATCCTGGAACGAAGATGCCTCATACACACTGTAGTAACACGACTGGCGATCTGTGTTGAGACATATCTCAGGGAATGTGATGAGCTGCCTTGCTATCCCAATAGCTTCCTTTAATGATTCTCCTTTAGGAACCACCCGACTGGCAAGTCCCATGGCCAGCGCTTCCTGGGCGCTCACAGGCCGACCGGTCAATATCATATCCAAGGCACGACCAAGCCCGACAATGGCTTGCAACCGGACAGTTCCTCCATCAATCAGAGGCACACCCCAGCGTCGACAAAAGACACCGAAGACTGCGTCTTCTTCAACCACGCGCATATCCGCAAGTAGACTCAGCTCTAGTCCTCCTGCGACGGCGTACCCGGAGATAGCACATATGACTGGCTTTTTTATAATGAGTCTGGAGGGACCCATTGGCCCCAAGTTGCGTCCAGCGATAGGTTGGAGGTTGTCGCCGGGTTTGTCGTCGTTTGCCTGTGCAACTTTATGGAGGTCGGCTCCTGCGCAAAAGCTACTGCCAGTACCTGTCAGGACACACACTTTTTGCTTCGGGTCATCCTCAAAAACAAGAATGGCTTCATAGAGCGCCTTCGCAGTCAAGGGGTCGACGGCATTCTTCCTATCAGGGCGATTGATTGCAATCACCGAGATACCAGAATATGAGGAAGTATCTGTAGTCACTCTGCTATGTTCCGCCATATCCAGAAACCAAGGAGACCATTATCAAAGAAAGCGAGATGTTGCTGTTTGAACATTTTATAGACTTTCCATACCTCGGCTAAACCCCACTCTCTCGACCTCCTCCAACCATCTCCGCCACTCAGATCTACGCTGTCGGGCATAGCACCATGTCTTCAGCATGTATAATCTGTCATAAAAGAAAGGTGTCGCATTAATAATCCATTGGCGTGTTCTCGAGTAATCGCTAATGGTTATAGGTGAGGTGCGATTATGCGACGCAAGACCCCTGCACCAACTGCAAAAAGTCAGATGTGGAGTGCAGGTAAGTACAACCTCAAGAGAAGACGAATAATTGAAAATTAACTCCGTTCAGACCATATACAAGAAAGCGCAAGAGATTCACCAACAGCCTATCGCCAGGGCGGAATGTGTTAATCTCTGCTCCCTTGAGTCAGACGCCGCGGAGCTCTCAGGTTCCTCCCGAGTCACCAGAGGCGCAAGTAGCTTCACAGCGAAATTCTTTGAGCGAGTCTCACGGAGTGGTTCCAATTGAAACCAATGCAGTCGTGGTCGCCAATAATGGCGAACCGTTCATTAAAGAAGAGAGTTATCGCGGTCGCAGTGAATATCTCGGCGGCAGCGTTCCGTTTGATGAAAATATGGTGAAACCCGGTCGCGAAACTACATATACCAACCCCAAAGCATCGGCAACTGACATGCAAATGCTCCGCGATCAAGGTGCTTTTGAGTTGCCTCCGGTATCAGTTCAAAAAGAGTTAATGGCCAGTTTTAATATGCACTGTGCACCTTGGACACCGGTTGTGGACCCAAAATGGCTAGATGAGAGTGCGCTGCGATCAATGCTGCTCCTTCAGGCTATATTTCTCGCTGGAAGTAGAGTTTCTAAAGCTCATTTGGACTATGGGTCTAGCGAAGTGTTTTATCGACGAGCGAAATTACTTTTCTTTTTTGGTGGTTGTGACAACCCTTTAATTTCTATTGTGGCCGCCTGCCTGCTGCATTGGTATAATCCGGTTGGGCCCGAGGATGTCTCTACTGATACCAGCGGGTTTTGGATTCGAACAGCCGGAGCAATGGCCTTTCAGATTGGGCTACACAAGGAACCCTCGCCAAATTCTCGAGATCGGGGCTTCCGGAGAAGGCTGTGGTGGTCTCTCGTGGTATGGATCTCCTTGAATGTGGAATACACAAAGTGTCATGCGCTAACATACTTAGGTGCGAGACAATATAATTTCTGTTGGCGTCGGCCGACCACGAACTATCAATCTACGCGACAGTGATGTGCTTCCACCATCACTTAATGATTTCCCTGTGAACAACTTTAAGTCTCAATTATTCCTAGCCTACTGCACGATATCCCGGCTTCTGGGAGACACGGTTGAGTCCCATCTACGAAAGGAAATCTCTCGCCAAAGGCAGGTTGATCTTGAGAACGCCGTCTACCGATGGGCAAAACAAGTCATTCCAAGGTTACGATCGTCTGTCGCAGATCAAGACGATGCGGCTATTTGTAATCTTGAAGTGCAACAGCTGCTGGTCATGTATTTCGTGGTGCTCACTATCCTCCATCGCTCGCCTACGCCAGGTAGCGTACCGCCCGCAGCATCGCTAGTCGCATCTTCATTCATTGCCGGTATTTACGAGGAATTTTTGCTTCGCGATGAGCTTCGATACTTGGGTCCTGTTTTTGCATTCTATCCACTATGCGCTGGACTGTCACTCCTATCTAGCTGTCGCTATGCCAACCTGCAGAGTACCGCCGAACACGAATTAACAGTCATGAAACTCTGCCTCCAAAAGCTATCTGAACGGTGGCTCTCGGCGGTCGGGCCATTACGTGCACTGAACAAATTGACCGAGAAAATCCGAGAGCTGGGCCCCTTCGAGGGTCCCTCGCCTACGCTCGACCCGGATGCTGCCTCGTTCTTTGAGGGTTTCGACACAAAACTTTGCAAACAATGGCAAGCCATTGGACATTGCTCGGATCCCACTAGTGGGAACACGGGGATTACGCCTACTTGCACCATGGCCGACATTCAAGACCCTGATACCCTTCGGTCCCTTGATGCTCCACCGGGACAGCAGGCGGATACTTACGACTTTGCTTCCCTTGATGTTAGTTTGGACCCATTTAGCAATAATTGGGAAGGTGCTGGATTTGACTGGAGTGGCTCCTGGCTACTTAATATATGAATACAACAAGGCTTGGTAATTGGCGTTACAGAAAAAGTGGTCTTGGTTAATGTCTTGTTTTCTCTATGTACAAAAGTCTCGCATTTTGCTTTCAAAATACCACATGGAGTTTGTTGTATCGGTTAGACTACATGTCGTCTATAGCTTACCTCTATTATTCTTTTGCACCTCAAGATCATAATACTGCCTGAAGTGATCCAGAGATCCAGGATTCGCAACGGTGCTGCTAATAATCTTGGGAAGCTGTCCAGACGAAATGACCTGTTTGACCAATGTTTCAACCTTTTTCCCGTTCACCGTCATAGGAACCTCTTTGACCCCGATCACGAAACGAGGAACATGTTTACTACTCAAGCCTTTTCGAATTGCATCCTTGAGCTCCACAGCAAGTTGGCCCGTGAAGGGCTTTCCAGACTGCATGATGACGAACAGGAATACAACTTCATCAGAGTCATGAGGTCGTCGACGCCCCACACAAAAAGTGGTTGAGATGACCGAGTTGAAAGGAGCAGATTCGGTGATCGAGTATATGTCTGACGACCCGAAACGAATACCCTGTGGGTTCAGAACACCATCGCTGTCGGGTTTCCAGTCAGCATGCAGTTCCTTCCCAGGTTATACTGACAGGGAAATGTAACTTACCTCCTTCCATGAATCTGCCAACCTTTCGTTTGTGGGTTATAGCTCGCCCAATCGTGTTGAGCCCAACAATTTTCGAATTTCTCGAAATACGCGCTCTTGTATTTCGATCCATCTTTATCGCCCCAGAAAAAGACCGGCATTGAGGGGAATGGTTTGCGGCAAATAAACTCGCCATGTCTTCCAGTAGTCCTGATCGAATCCCCCGTGGCAGGATCGACAATGTCCAAGTCGTGTCCAAGCATAGGAAGCTGGATTTCTCCAGGATACAGTGGACCTGCAGGGTCAGTCCCGATCCAAGAAGTCGCCAAGTCCGTTGCACCTGTTACACTGGTGAGATGAACACTCGAAGGGAATGTGCGATAGAACCAGTAATATTGGTCTTCACCTAGATGAGATCCACCCGTCTGCACCATTCTAAGAGACGATAAGTCGAACTCGTTCTTCGGGATGCAGCCGGTCATCTCGAGCTCCTGCAGGTAGCGAGGAGAGCAGCCCCAGTATGAGACTTTATGATACTCTGCGATTTTTGCCAGTCCTTTAGCACTTGGCCACAACGGAGATCCGTCGTACAGAATCAGAGTCGGACCTACGGACAGGTGACCGACCATGACATTCCACAAGACCCATGAGGTACTGCTGTACTGGAAAACAACATCTTCGGATGTCAAAGAGTTGTGTAGTACAGATGTCTTCTTGTGCTGCAAAATAACGCTGTGGCTGTGCACCAGGCATTTGGGCTGACCGGTAGTGCCGCTAGTGTATAATATATAGAGTGGATGAGAGAAGGACACTCTTTTGAACTCTAGCTTGTCCTCCTGTCGTGAAGTCGATAGGAAGTGATCGAGACTAGGGAATATCGGCTCATGGGTCCCCGTGATGGGAATCAAAAACACCTGTGGCTTTGAGTGCAATGCCTTCACGATACTCTGGATCTTAGCAACGTTCGATCGCATTTTCCCCTTGTACGTAGACTCGGCATCTGCAAAGAGAAGTCGTGGAGTGACCTGTTGCAACCGTGAAACACAGCCCTAGTATTTCCAATCAGTCTCTTTTCTCCAGTGGTTCTCATTCCTTCGGAACATACCTCGTCACCCAAATCCGGTGCAATACTGGTCCAAATCGCGCCAATACTCGCAGTCGCTAGGAACAGACCGATTGACCAGACGCTGTTCGAGATTATAGCAGCAACTCGATCTCCTTCCTTAATACCGGCCTGGAGCAAAGCACTCCTTGCCTTTCTGGCATTCTCCCTCAACAATCCCCATGTCCACACCTCCCCACTCAGATCCTGGCCCTCTCGAACTCCAACAAGAGCTGTCTTGTTCAAGTCCCGTCCAGACACAACATTTTCTGCATAGTTGACAGTTGCTCCGGGGAAGAATTTGGGAACCTTCTCCATTGGCGTGCTAGGATCGAATGCAGATGTTACTGTCGGAGGCAATGATGGAATAATTCCCGTATAGCCATGGAGGTCTATCCAGAAATCTGGCAGATTCTCAACAGACCATTGATGCAGATCATGAGAGGAGCGAAGCTGTTGATTGAACTTCTTGTTGATATGTGCACGATAAATGTTCATGGGTATTTGGTCTTGGGGAGTGGTAGGCTCCCAGATGGGACGAGGCCTGACACCGTTGCTCTTCGTAGGGTTTACCATTTCTTATTTATTTCCCTGGTGCCGGTTATTGACTTTGAAGGTACTTATATTCGGAATTGATTGAGTACAGAGTGGTTTATATTGACAGACAGAAGACACAAAGCTACTCTCAATAAGCACATTAATAGCCCGCCGGCATTCGGCACCCGGCCATTTAATACCCGCATGGATAATCTCATTCCGGTAAATCTGACGCATTGCTAAAAACACCCATACTTTAGGCTCTTTCGGTGATCGTCGGTGAAAATCGGACGGAATCGGCGGTATATGATGCATTCTATAGGGTCGATGCTGCTGCTCGGCCGATGATGCAACCAACCCCCGCACGAAACTGAGGGAATATAAGATTTTGGTGGAGGCTTGATTTTGTGGGGTAAGTAATTAAACACCGTGTGTCTTTTTTCTGAATATCTTGTTACTGTCAATATAGGTGTCTAACCTCAAACCCCCGAGATCTCTTTCGGCAAATCATGCAATCTGAGCTTATGGTTGTTAAATGGTATCTCTTTTACCAATAACCGAAGGCATTTCTTTTCTACAGCTAATGTTGGAATGTGAAGTCTTGGTCGAATGTTCACATATGTACAATTATCTGAGAACAGCTAGATAAATATACGAATGCGAAGATTACATGCTAATATGGCATCAGTCTTCGTACTTGGCTTTCTCAAAGCTTGGAGCTCTCCTTTTGCAAGGATCGGTGACCAGATGCACGGTTCGCCGGCAGATCGACTCCCCAGGCAATGCGGCAGTCCCATTGCACATGTTCCTCTCCTCCAGAAGTAGCGCTCGCAGTGCCACGGACTGTAACAATATCATGGAACACATGCTCTCCCACGCCACCCTCAGCACTCAAGATCCAGCGACGGGCGATTTCTGTCGTCACAGGGTCATTATCACGTTCAGCATCAAGCGCCAGAAGAGCACCGGATAGAATCCAAGCCAGAGTAAACATAAAGCGACGGCCATCCGCAACAGTTGAAGCGGGGTCCTGAGTCGTGAACCGAACACGCAAAGCTGACCACGCAGCCGTCAGAGCATTCCGCAGATCTGTGCTCTGAATTAGTGTCAAGGTACGACCAAGCCATGTTTCGAATATCTTCAGGTTGTCTTTCTTGATAAGGAAGCGGACAAACTCGCTGGCTAGCACGTTGGTAGTACCCTCCCAGATAGAATTAACTGCGTTATTACGCAAAATCCGAGAGATATTGAATTCGGGCTCGTCAGCCTCATCCATATACCCGACTCCACCCATAGATTCCTGACATTCTTGAATCCCCGTAGTGGCCATCTTACTGATGACGGCCTTGGCGGTGGCTGTCAAGGTACGGAAAACCACCCCGGCTTCCTTACCAGGTTGAGGTAGATGCGCGAGATTATTAGACGATGGTCTTTGATCCTCAACTACTCCAAACAAAGCAACGGTAAACCATGCAAGATTCATTGCTCCTCGATGCTTTACTTCCAAGTCCGCGAGGAGTCGCAGATGCATTGGGATCAACCAGAGCGGTTCGCCAACGGTAGTCCTTGCTTTTGCAAAGCTTTTCGTGATGCTGATTGCTCGACGCCAACCAGCAAGTGAGCCAACGAAGGTATGAAGTCGAGTGACATTAAGAAGAGGGGCGATAGTCACGATCCCCTGGTCTAGTTCCCCGAGGAGGTGCGCACGCATGTCCTTTAGTTCCAATTCGGCAGTTGGTAATTCTTTGGTACCGAGTTTGTTCTTCAGTCGGTGGATCCTGACGCCATTAGATACAACTCTGGGGATACCGTCAGCACCCACCACGGTCCGTCGCAGTGGTGCGAGGAACGTGCTTAGCTTCCCGGATGGCGTTTTCGCGAGCAAGAGAGCAAGGTTCGCATCCGTTGCTGAGGAAAAGAACTTGAATCCGCTGATCAGGTATTCCCCATCACCTAAGGGATCGGAGCCAGAGCTGGTAGCTAGAGGCGAGTATGTAGCCCATGTTTCGGTATTTTGAACGTCGCTTCCACCAGCTCTCTCAGTCATCCACTGGCCCGAGGTCCAATGATCATCCTTTTCGGAGATCAGCCCTTGGAACGCAGTATGGAAAGGATGCGTAGATGGCAGCTTGTTGATTCTTGATGAGAGAATAAAAGCAGCACCATCGGTCATACTAATCGGACAGGAGTAGAGTCCAGAAGAGGGAGAGTACAAATAGGTCCTGGGATTATGGCATGAGTGATAGCGTAGAAAGATCGACAATAAAATACTCACAGCGCATACTGAACTGTTCTCCGATCGACCCCTAATCCCTTATCATAGCCCGCCGAGACGATCCTAATCGGATGGCGTTAGATCATGCACGTCATCTTAAAGGCGTTTTGTGGAGGATACCTATTTCGAGCACCCCATTTTCCCAATTGCTTCCAGCCTTCCGTGGTCACTAATCGATCGTAGTCATATCGCTTACCCCAAACGTTGTGGCTCTTCACATATGGGACATTGCGCTCTGCATCGGCGCTCCATTCACGAATCTGCTCGGAAATAGCCTCGGCACCGAATTGCGTGAGGTGTGGCTGTACAGATTGCAATGTAGTAAATGGTAGGTACCCTGGATAATGCTTAGTGATTACTGTAACTACATATAAATAAGAAACTCACATGCCAGTGTCCGTTGAAGGCTGGGATCTGACGTGTAGGTATTCTCCAACGGATCAGGATCGGTGATATAGCCGGTATCTGCTGTTGCAGGCTGTGGGGAAGACATGGCGTGATTGTTAGAAGTGGATGCGATTGAAAATCACAAACGGAACGCTCATAATGATATTGCTAAAGGCTACTGAAGATGCGGGGGAGATGAACCTCGGCCGTCGGTTGTCCAAAGTCTCTCATATTTACCCGCAAAAGGGCCAATTACCTGCTCATGTTACCTTATTGAACCTGGAACATGTTATCCTATATGCTTTACCGTTTCTAGTCACAGGTTATTCTGATCACAGCCTAGGCGGCAAGCCAATACCCAATAAATGATTGTTAAAGTATAATGACAGGCGACCATTTTAGCCATAACAGTCCTTCCCAGGATATCAGCGAAGAAGAAGGTCTGATTTTTTATTTAATGTTTGCTTTTGCTAACACCTGAAGACTCTCACATGTCATGCAGCGTGTTGTATCCAGTTTCAACCAAGCTGCGCGGTCCTCGGGCATCAGAGCAGACATGCCAGTAGAACAAACCACCCAGTTTCGACGAAGTCACAAATTCCGCCTTCTGTTTTACTGTTTCTGGGGTATCGTATGTGACAAAACCGCCATCAGCGCCAACACAGAATGCTGCAGCAATGTTCTTGTCATGGTACTCCTGTGTCCCCGGTCGGGGCAAATCGCGATAGTCAAAGACACCATCCTCGCCACCGTTTCCAGTGTACCTTTGGCCAGGGCCGTTACTGCCCAGGAAAGATCGCCCGTAAACCGGCACACCCAAAATGATCTTTCTAGGGGACACTCCTTGCCCTATGACGTAAGAAACTGCCGAATCACCAGATACGCCTGAGCCATAAAGCTTCGCCTGGTGGCCTGTTTCGGATTCCCATGGTCCAGCGAAATCGTAGGTCATGAGGTTGATCATGTCAAGATGCTTTTGTGCCGCAGCAAGGTCAATGTTCCGCAATGCCCACTGGCCAGCAGGGAGGGCGGTAGTAAGAACATATCGCGGAGCCGGTAGCACTTCGCGCAGACGTGCGAGGAGACGAACATAATCCTTTCCTTGATTGGAATCAGAGGGATGCTCCCAGTCGACTGTATAGCAGATTTAGTGAGTGATGTGTTTCCAAATTGAGTTAGAATCAAAAAGACAATGCGGCCTTACTGTCAATGCCATCAATTCCAAATTGATCCACTAGTTCCCGCGCAGTGCGAACGAAAGTGTCCACCTTGGACCGGCTGCTGGCTACAGCAGCGAAGTTCTCGCTACCTTTTCCACCACCACCAACAGAGAGGATGACCCTCATCTTAGAATACTGTTGCTTCAATTGGACAAAAGCTCTAAGGCAACCTTCTGCGCCGTCAACGGGCATCTGGGTATCAGCCCACTCATCACTCAGCTATGACGCAGGGTCAGTAAATATTCCCACATTGGAGGACGTGCATGCTTAAACTGAAACTTACATAGATAGTGCCATCATCTTTGACCCTGCGAGAAACCAAATTGAGATTAGCGCGTCAGCCATCTACTCGGATTCGGACCTTTGAACGGCGATGATTGGCTGTGTTTACCAGGCAAATGCGTAGAACACGTGAGAGATAAATCCCAAGCGTAAAGATGAAGGAGGCTCCTTTCGATAGATTCTCCAATTCGGATAGTAGGCCGCATTTGTGTACAATGGCACTTCATACGAGACGTGGGACTCAGCGGGGTTATGATCCGCGCCCCGTCGACGGAAGAGCCTGGAAGCTGAGAACATGGTCAAGATGTCAAGATCAGGAATGTACAAGCTCGCTCATTGAAAGGAAGCACAGAAAGGACTGAAGTTGAAGGGTATTCGGAAAAAAGAAGGGAAAAAGGAAGAGAGAAAGAGAGAAAGAGTTGAACTGAAAAAGAAAGTACCCAAAGCAATGCTGTGTGTTTCCCTTTTTGGAATACGTCACGTGGAACTTCGCCTCGTCCCTTTTACGACTTGGGCTAATTGGACTTGGACTACCCCGTAATTGGGGTGAGTATGCCCAGGTGGCCAGGCAGTTTGCAGATGCAAATCTGAGGTAACTTCACTAGGCTTCTTGGCGTAGATGGTCAAATCAGCAATTGGATACAGCGAGATGCGGGGAATGCAAGCTAAGCATATGCGCACCATTTTTTTTCTCTCTTTTCAAAAGTACAAAGTACGTTGTACGCAATGGCTTGATGTCTGCATAGATGCGGGGTCAAGGCTGATTGTGCTTACAGCCTACCTAGGTACTCCGTGCACTATCTCACAGTTCAGTACTCCGTAACTGTTCTTGAACCAAAACACACCGGATCTTCTCCGATCATCTCCGTATCACTCTACGATCGGATCTAACCAACGGATGTAGTAAGAAAATCCTATCAGGGACATTTTCCAAACTAAGGTACGAGTGTGGATCGTCATGCATGACCAATGCACCCCGTGTTCGAACAGATTTTTCAAAACGGCGCCAGATCGTCATGAAACAATATTATCGTGGAGAATGATGACTCGTGATAATTCGGTTACAGCGTCAAGCTCGCGTTGGGTGCCCCGGTGAGGAATATATTTTACGAAGCTAATGACCAAACAAAGAGAGGGGCGAAGAAAATTTCGCGTTTGGTTGATATTTGCTTTTTCGGTTTGATGATGGAAGCATTTACAGCTATCTGATTCGCCGAGGAAGAGAGTCTAGGAGATGAGGCTGGGGACTATAGGCAACGATGCATGTTGCCTCCGGCTTTATGCTTTCCCGCGGTGATCGAGTTCGGAATGTTTACTGCCTACTGCAGGGATACCGTTTGAATGACTATATCGCACGAGAAAAGCCTACTCGGATAAGCTCGAAGTATGGAGAGCACAATTACGAGAAAATAAAACGAAAAAGTGGTCTTGTCAATGCCCAAATGCGCTCATTGCGATCAACGGTCCCAAAATGGTCAACTACACAAAGCTATAAATGTCGAGGTCTAGCACTCCCACTATCTAAACCGCTTGAAGCCTCCTGGGGTTATTGGTCGCGGCTTCAGGTTTGTTCAGATAACCTTAGTTTTGTTACTTTGGCGACAAAAAAGGCGTGATTACAGATCATAGAGCGCATCTGAAGGTGAGCGTAGGAGTTTTGTGTCAACCTTGGTTCCAACATATTATTACCTCCCGCTCTGTTTGTACTATCGTGGGTACCTTGAAGGTATCGCCTGCCAAGGCAAGCAAGAGTCAATAGACTTAAGCTATCAGAAATGTTTACAGGGCATAATCAACAGGCTCCTAGATGTTTAAAATACGTGTAACGTGATAGATAATCTCGAATTATGTAGACATTGTACAATGCCCATTCCCAATTTGCGTTCTCGGTATCTTCATGCAACACTAGAGCTTAACAGCCTTGTTCAGCTCAGCCCATTTCTTCTCTCCCTCAGATCCAGGCTGCGGTGGCACAAGACCATTGATCTTCCACAAGTCTCTCGATGATTCTGCGATGAAATACTCCCATTCCATTCCCTTCGGCTCGAAAAATGGATTGAGAATCTCATCGACGGCAGCCAAGAATCTTCGTTTGGCTTCGTCGGTTTTGAAGGCACGGGCAATGTGGTATATTGTCAAGGCTGCAAAGTTGGGGTGAGGTTCGCCACCAACAAACGAAGTACCGGGAATGTTCTCGATGAAATGGACTTGGACGTAGAATGCAGGTAGGCCAACGGAGACGTACAGCCTGGTGATTGACTTGGCAAGTTGTTCTTTCTCAGATGCCGTAATGGTGTTTGGACTATGTTTGATGTACCAGGAAGGCATTTTGAAGGAAGCCGCTTTCTTGTGAGAATAATACCTCGTTGAGGATGTTTTCAGATGAATCTTAAATGGAGATGTGTTGATATATTTTTCACGTATTGGATCTTGCCCATTCTTATACTATGCTGAAGATCATAATATGTTAAATAGATCTCGCAGATTACTGATATCAAATATAGTCGCTCCATCATTCATATGCACGATCACTTATTTGCTCAGTCTCACATAGTCTTGATGTCTCGGTGCGATAGTATAATAGAAAAGTGTTGATTTCAACAACGGGTCCACTTGTAACACCATGTTTTTTGATCATTTCATCAGCCTCGGCCCCTGAGTTGATTACTATATCGTACAACCTTTCGAGCTTCACAATAGTAACACTTACGATTACTCGGGCTGTATATTATATCAGTCGGGTTATATGCTCGATCGATCAGGCTAACATTAAAAATATGATGACGTCGAGCATGGCGATGTCGCATGGAATTGAGGCTCTCTTTAGAACCAGGCTGCGAGTATGACGTGGGTCGATTCCATCATTTTTCTTATCCTGGCCTATCAACCAGATCTAAATAAAGATTTAGGCAAACTACGTAGGTAGATTCCCTAGTAGATTACAAATACAATCAAGGGATATAAAAGGCAGTTGAGCGCAGTACATAATGTTTTCTCCCCACCAGCACTTGAATAATCAACAAGATGTCTAATGAATTGATCTTTATCACCGGAGCCACTGGCTTCATTGGGAGCGCCACTGCAGTGGCTGCTCTGGAGGCGGGATATCGACTGCGAGTTTGTCTTCGCAAGCCATCTGAGCAATTGGAAACTCTGCTGTCGGAGTATAGCGACCAAGTTGAATTTGTTATCGTCCCAGACCTCACTGATGAGGCGGCATTCGACGACAAGTTGAACGGCGTAGACTATGTCCTTCATCTTGCATCCCCTCTTCCCCATGGGACCGACAAGCAGACATACTTTCCCCCGGCTGTGAAGGGGACCACCGCCTTGCTGAAAGCAGCAGCTAAGGTGCCAACCATCAAGAAGGTCGTGATCACCTCGTCCATTGTGGCCTTGATTCCATTGACTGGCATTCCTACTGGTGGTGTGGTGAAAGGTACCTTATAACCCACTTTGTGATATCCGAAAGAATTGTATTGACATATACCCTAGAGGACAACGATTGGGACTTTTCAGTTGATGAAAATGCCAATTTTGAGGACCCTCAAAATCCGGCTGCAACACCAATGCGCCTGTATCACGCCTCAAAACTGCTTGCAGACCACGCAACTTGGGAGTTCCGGGCGACAGAGAAGCCACACTATGCATTGGTGACGTTGCATCCCGCATTTGTGTACGGGCGCAATCTTGTTCAGAGTTCTGCCGACGCAGTCAACGCGGGGTCTAACGGTAATCTGTGGGATATCATCATGAAGGCTGATCCCACTAAAAATATGGTAGGAGTGCATATTCAAGATGTGGCCGAGGCACACATCAAAGCACTCGATCCGAAGATTGTGGATGGCTCGAAATATCTCCTGGCCGGGCCGAAGACGACGGGTTCTGAGATTGCGCGCATTGTGCACAGACTCTATCCGGATTCTGGAGCATTGATCTCTGAGGATTTCCAAGGTGTCTCGCCCCCAGTTGATGCGACCAAAGCGGAGACAGAGCTTGGGATTCAATGGCGTTCATTCGAGTCAATGGTGCGGGAGGTGATGGATCAGCAGCTCGGGTTCTCGTAAATATGCTCTGTCGAAACACATTTTTATAGGTCAACAGCAGTACTTCACGATATCAGTTGTAGTCTCAATTTGAAATAGATAGCAATTGGATTGGACGTTAGGTTTTAGTTTTCTGTCATCTTGGTTGCTTCTGGTTTTCTATATTTACCAATTTATATATCCTTGTCTCCATTTAAGCGTACGGTGACATATTTTCCAAGGGACGAACAGCATGACACTCAGGGGTATTAATATATCAATCAGAATTTTGCTTCTAATGTAAGTTTAAAGGTTAGTATGACTTGGCTGTCCATGGGTTAAATTGGATGCCAAAATGCAAACGAGCCAAACACCAATTTGCCACCTGATTTCTAAGGCGACAACTGGAGAACAACCTGGACAGCTCCGCAACCTTCAACAACTACGACTTCTCCCTTGAGTATCCTTCTCCATGTCAATTTGAGCTAAAATACACCGAGAATCTGATTTTCAATCTCTCTACAACTCGTGAAATTCCATCCACAAAGAGGCGGGCATAGTCAATCGAACACACACACCTGACTTGCGACCACCACCGATCCTCTCTTCACCCTCCACACTTCACCTGTCGCTTCAGCTTCATTAAGCCATGGCTAACGACACCAAAAGCGCAGCTGCACACATCATATCTGCCGAACCGACACGCGATCCTAGCTACAATGAATTTTCTTTCACACCGTTTCTGCGCAAGAGCTTCGGCTTCGGACTCGCCAGCGATGTACCTGTTTGCAAAGCTTATAGTGAAGGACACTGCCCATTAGGACCTGCTTGTCCAGATCGCCATCCCACTCCATCTCGTGTGACAACTTCGACTACCACAGCATCCGGAATGGCGCCATCTACAACACACGGATCGCTAGTTTGCAAACATTTTCTCAAGGGATTATGCAAAAAAGGTCTGAAATGCGAATACCTCCACGAATATAACCTTCGACGAATGCCAGAATGCCAGTCATTTTCACGATCCGGATACTGCACCAACGGTGACGATTGCCTTTACCAGCATGTCCGTGAGGAGGCACGCCTGCCGCCTTGCGAGCACTACGACCGCGGATATTGCGAATTGGGACCACTATGTGCAAAGCGACACGTCCGCCGACGTCTATGTGCCTTCTACCTCGCCGGATTCTGCCCCGATGGAAAAGCATGTGCCGATGCTCACCCTCGCTGGCCGGAGAACCTACCACGGCCTACAATGCGCACTGAAAAGACGGAGGAAGAACTTGAGCATGAACGAGTTCTCATCCGTGAAGAACAAGAACGGGAAAAAGAACGGGAACGAGAATGGCGAAACGAACGTGGTCGGGGTGGTGGATTTGGGCGTGGTCGCTTCCGCGGGCGTGGAAGGGGTTAGGTGGAATTCTTATCGCAAGGGTTTTTTTTTGGCGACATTGCATGGCATGGAGTGAGGTGTGGCTTCAGCAAGGGGTCCACGGACTTGGTTTCTTTTCGTTTATGGTTCTTGCGCTAGTCCCGCGATACCCCCCATTGAATTTGACGCAAGAATATTCATCAATTTTTTCCTTTTTTTTTTTTTTTTTTTTCACTTGAGCTCAATGGCATAACTGGTGTTACAAGGAAGACGTCCTTGTTCCACCCTTGCTGTATTATATATACTTTCTGCTATACTGGCTTCGCCTGGCAATAATAAATCTGTGCAGTGAAACCACATGTCTCTTCGTGTTAATAGTCAGCCACCGGACCTAAGTACGCCGGTGTCAGCTTACAGCAATCTAATCTTGGAACTCATATGATGAAATCGGAGCCTTGTATGGTCAACACAGTGAAGAAATCATAAGGGACTTCATGACATCATGATAAGCACTGTAGAGATGTATATCCTCTTAATTCCGCAGTTGACAAAGCAATATTTTTCTAGTAGAATCTGAACAACTTACAATTTTTTTACTAATGATTTTGTAACTCTACTAAGGCACGTAGTAGCGTCCTTAGCGCGCAAAATTTCCCGAGATCATATTTGTCAGTCTTCAGTAAGAATCACTAAAGCCAAAGCTATATCCGAGTGGAACCTGTTCGGCCAATCATATTCCATCCTCGGGTGCTCTGTCATGGGTGACTGATGCTTTGTTGCGCAGCTAATCATAGAGGTACCTGAGTCCACATACTAATTAATATGGTGGATGAGGTACCTAACACATTCCTTCTGGCGGGGTGTGAACCCTTTATAACTAGCTCCCCTCCCCGCTCTGCATATCTCATTCATTCTACATTCACACTACAATTCCCAAACCATCATCATGGCTCCCAAGGTTGCAATCGTCTACGTGCGTGTTCCAATGGCAATATATTCCTCTATAATCTCACTAACTGTCCAAACAGTACTCCATGTACGGCCACATCCAGGCCTTGGCCGAGGCCGAGAAGAAGGGCATTGAGTCCGCTGGTGGCCAAGCCGAGATCTTCCAGTCAGTCACACCACCATTGTTACCTTTTATATCATTTGATTAACATTTTTATGTCTCTAGGATCGCTGAGACCCTCAACGAGGAAGTTTTGGCCAAGATGCACGCTCCTACCAAGGCCAGCTACCCCGTCATTGAGCCCGCCGATCTCCTCGCCTACGACGCTGTTCTGTTCGGTATCCCTACCCGTTACGGTAACTTCCCTGCTCAGTGGAAGACCTTCTGGGACAAGACCGGTGGCATCTGGGCCACTGGTGGCTTCTGGGGCAAGTACGCTGGTCTCTTCGTCTCCACCGGTACCCAGGGTGGTGGTCAGGAGTCCACTGCTCTTGCCTCGATGAGCACTCTCGCTCACCACGGCTTCATCTACGTTCCCCTCGGCTACAAGACCGTCTTCGCCCAGCTGAGCAACTTGAACGAGGTTCACGGTGGTAGCGCCTGGGGTGCTGGTACCTTCGCTGTAAGTTAACATGACAGACCCACCTCAATACGTTATTCTTACTGACCATCTCGTCTATAGGGTGCCGACGGTTCCCGCCAGCCCTCCGCGCTTGAGCTTGAGGTTGCCACCGCTCAGGGCAAGGCCTTCTACGAGACCGTCTCCAAGGTCCAGTGACTCCATGGTAGTACCGAGTCGAAGCCGGAAAGTTCGACTCCTGCTGCTCAGGCGGCCGCTCAAAAGACCGAGCAGCCTGCTAAGGAGCAACGGGGTACTCAGGAGCCAGCCAAGAAGGAGAAGAGTGACGAGGGGCCATGCGGTTTGCCTAAGAAATGTACCATTCTTTAATTAGGCCCATGTCTCTCTTCTTGTGTTCTCTAATTTTCGGCTGTTCTCCCTGGGGCGTTCTCTCGGCGTTTCGACTAATTCATGACGATACGGGCATACCATTTCCATTTTTCAACAGCCAGTTATCTCTAGCCTAATGGAAGATATATTTGGAAGAATTGTCAATTGCTTTTGCGCAAACGCATAGCAATTCGTATCTCTGTCCTTCTTTTTCCAAGTAAAACATGCAGAAATTCTCCCTAGACGAGAAATGCTCATTACTAGCACCTACTGCGCTTTTACTTCTAAATACCTATCCAACCTTCTATAATTGACTCTCATCTGGCAGGCGTGGCATCCGCACAGCGACTTTAACCACATGACAACCGTCCTTTGGCGCCCTTCTTCCTCTCATTAGGCCAGCAAAGGGATTGGAGGGCAAAACTCGCTGCTTGGGCTTTTAGCGTTCGTGCTCGTTCCTATTCTATTACCCAAGTACGGCGAGGCCATTGGAGAGAAATGACCCGTGGGTCTTGAATGTAGAAAGGCTTAAACCCAAAACCATGGAAGGCTAGAACCCACTACACTTTATGCTGACTATCGGGGGTATTGGTATTGTGTATTAACTAAATAGCAACAAGCTGCTATCTCCGCATGCTCACTACCCTAATACCTTCACGAATAGTATGTAAAACCTTGTATGTAAATAATCAAATACAATATAAACAGTGAGACTTCACTGGGTATGACAACATAGTCTATATGAAAAAGTAGGAATCTAATTAGCTTGTTTTATGATTTAGTTAAGAGGGCGCAGTCACCTTGGTTATCTGTCTATAACGCAAGTCTCTCAAAATATGTAAATATGTCCCTCATACGTGTGAAGATCATAAAGCAACCAATATCGTGTTTCTTCTTGTTACTCTACTTAAACCCCCGAGCGATGAAAACAAAAACTTGCGCCGGTATAGTTAACAAATTGGCCAATCTTCCTTTTGCCATTTAAGATACATTCCAGGCTTGCTCGCGCGAATGATGATTAACCATGCACTGAATCAATACGGAAACCTCAAATAATAACAGCTAAAGGTTACCTTTTGTAAAAACAACCCATTCTACGGGCTTTTAGGTGTATCTATACATATCCATCGTTTTACTAGGGAGTAATGTACATACATAAAGCTCTGTATCCGTAACAACTTTACCGACGCCTCGCCCAAAACTCCACAGCCGACCGCGGGGTGTTTTGTCAGCCAGGTACCATACCGCCCGCCAGCTGTGACGTGACCAGGGAAGCTTCGAGTCGAGCTTCTTTCTTTCACTTGCATGTGTCTTCTCGGTCTTCTTTTTCCACTTGTGTACTGCGGAAGGTGAAGCCAATATCACTCCATCCTTCTCTTCAACCGTGCTCTAGTTTTATCAGGGCCAGGATGACCTCCATTCTTCTGCGATTCGAGAGTCGAAATGGCCAATTTCGACTTACGGTCAGCCCGGAGGAACTCTTCCCATCACTTCAAAAAAAGGTATCTCCCCGCACTTGGTGAGAAGAAAGTGATAGCAGGATTAGAGTCAAATGCTAATCTGGCAACCGCTATTAGATTCTAGAACACCTCCCGTCAAATGTCGAACCTTCGTCCATTACCCTCTCCAATAAACCGATCGGCACAGGTGGTGAGGAGAGACTACTGCAAGGCCTACAAGGGGTTTCGCTTCAGCAGGTTGGCCTGAAGTAAGTGTCGAATGTTATATTGGCCTCTAGAGATTGAATTACTCACGCGCCGCTGAATTGAAGGCATGGAGATAAGCTTTTTATTGGGTACCAAGAACAGACACAACAGAATGGACCCTCAAACGGCACCGCATCTACCACTACAGAACACCGACTGAATGGAGCACCGATTACCAAGCAACAGACAGTCCCAATCCGTCCGCAGCCAAGTTCGTCCGCTCCAACTAAGAACCCGTGGGAGCTAGTGCAGCAGTCACCGCTGGACAATCTCTTAGATAAGAAAGATGGAAAGATCAAGCGTGGCATGGATCACAAAATGTGCAGGCACGGTCCCCGAGGCATGTGTGATTACTGTATGCCACTTGAGCCCTACGATGCGAACAACATGGCAGAGAAGAAGATCAAGCACCTTTCTTTCCACTCATACCTGCGGAAAATCAATGCCGCGACCAACAAGCCCGAAATGGGAACCTCGTTCATGCCTCCGCTCAATGAACCATATTACCGGGTGCGAAGCGACTGCCCATCGGGACATTCCCCTTGGCCGGAGGGCATTTGCACCAAATGTCAACCAAGCGCAATCAGTCTGCAGCCCCAGGAATTCCGCATGGTAGACCATGTGGAGTTCTCATCCCCTGATTTAATCAATTCCCTGCTTGATTTCTGGCGAAAGTCAGGTGCTCAACGGCTGGGTTTCTTGTATGGGACATATGAGGAATACACTGAAGTACCACTAGGTGTCAAGGCTGTTGTGGAAGCAATCTATGAACCCCCGCAAACAGGCGAAGTTGATGGCGTAACACTCCATGACTGGCACAACGAAAAGGAAGTGGACGAGGTAGCCCGTCTTTGCGGATTGCAGAAGGTTGGTGTCATCTTTACTGACTTGGTTGATGGCGGCCGTGGGGATGGTTCGGTGGTTTGCAAGCGGCATATCGACTCATACTTCTTGTCTTCACTCGAAATCGCCTTCGCTGCACGACTCCAGGCACAAAACCCCAAATCAACGAAATGGAGCCGGACTGGTCAGTTCGGCTCGGATTTCGTGACGTGTGTGCTCAGTGGAGACGAGACAGGTGCGATTGCTATCAGCTCATACCAAGCATCCGTGTCTGCAGTCGAGATGGTTCGAGGAGATATAGTCGAGCCCTCAGCGGACCCAACCGTCATGCTGGTGCAATCAGAGCATGACGAAGATCTCGGAAACAGGACACGATACATTCCCGAGGTCTTCTACCGGCGAATTAATGAGTACGGTGCAAGCGTACAGGAGAGCGCTGAGCCGAGTTTCCCAGTCGATTTCCTGCTAGTCACCCTCACCCACGGATTCCCAACAGATTCATCCCCGTTATTCACCAACAGTCGCTTCCCTATCGAAAACCGTGAAGTCATCGGCGAGAGCCAAGAGCTTCGACACGTTGCCCAGAAACTCATGTCCCATGGCGATCCCGATAAAGCTATCCAAGGCGTTTCCGACTTCCACATCCTGTGCTTCTTGCATGGAGTGGGCACGTTTAGCAAGGTCGGTGTTATATTGTGTATATTTCAATTTAGTGTATGTGACGCTAACTCGCATTCTCGAACAGGATGAGGAATCGCTGCTCTGTCGCGTCGCCAGAACAAAGTCCCCCGTCGAGGGCATGCAGCTCGTGAATACCCCAGGATGGGCTACGTTGATGACAATTCTTCAAGAGAGTGGTGAGCGCCCCCCTAAGCGCCCCTGGCCCACACCGGCTGAGCCTTCTCGCTCGGGTTCCCAAACCCGGAAACGCCGCAACTCCCCACCCTCTGCCCTACCCCGGTCCATATCTCCCAGTCCCGAGAGTGACCAGCTTGCTAAGAGGTTTAAGGGAGCTAGTTTAGAGTGACGGGTTTCGTCTTTTTGCCGCTCGGTTTTCATCGCACTTCCCCCAGACCCTTCGGTTCCGCCCTCCCCACCGTGTTGCCCTAAAAGTTACGAGGATGGCACTTTTCGTCGCCTTTTCCCCCGAGACATTGTCGATTCGCCGACCCGAGATGCAGATTTGATGGTGCGGGAATGGAAGTTAGTAGGCCCTTGGGCCCGTCGGCTAGTTATAGCAGGCTAAAGCTCTGCCCGATATCATTGCATTTCGACGAATATACCACTCGAAGTCCAGTTTGCGCCTTATGCGTCTTATGCGTCTTAGAGCCATGGAGTGTGCTATAATGAAATAATCCACTCATACTCTCGTCTCAGGGGCTTCCTTAATGAAATCTACGCTTTTTTTTTTTGGGTAACATACACATGTCGACGGGTAGAAGTCTGTGATTGTACAATATGCCTAGATCGATGGGGATTAATGAGTTTATGTACATATTTGCATACATATTCGCAGATAAGTTATGTTTACGTAGCGCGTGGCAGTGACGTCAAACGAGGACCTGCCGTAGACTGAGTCTACTACGCACCGTGAACCATAGCATCAACTTTTTGGGAATGTACTTCATGGTACAAAATTACGACAAATTCCCTGTCTTCTCCAATATCACACTGACCATGAACGCCCGAATGAAGATGTCAAACTCCCAGATAATACAACTTACCGACAATCCTCATAGCTCATGCGCCTGACTTTCTTGGACAAGCTCCTTCAAACGTCTTTCCAATACCTCCCGTCCCTGTCCAGTACTCCATACTTCATGTGGTGCATCATAAGCAATATCCCAAGCCAAAAGGTTGTCCGTAAGATGAGAAAGATCCTCCTGTCGCTCCGCCCACTGAGAACTCTTTCGAACTTCTTGACCAGAGCTCACAACGACTACAGGAGCATGACCCATCTGGATATGGCGAGAGGAATGTATCTCAGCAGCAGTCATGGTAACGGCCACGAGGCTTTCCTGTAGCTTTGCTTTGATGTATTTCCCAGACTGGTAAGCCGAACGTCCAACGACGCGGTCCTGGCGAGAACGGCCGCGTAAAATGGCGCCTGCAAGCCGATCCAATCCCAGTGGAGAAATAATACCACGAAGCCAGAGCAAAAATCCACGACCGGCTCGCCCAATGTCTCCCAGGTATGCCTCGTGGAGGGGATCGATCATGAAGATGCCGCGAACTTCGAGAAGATTGCGACTAGCAAAAAGTCTCGAATAAAGACTGCCA